TGTTTGTGTCCTTTCCTATTTCTGATAGCCTATGTATTCCCTGTGCCAAAGTTCTCAAGTTGGTCCCAATTCCCTCATTGATGAGCCACGCTTCTTTATGCCCACCTCCAGCTGCCTGTGGGTCCTCCAAGACACCCCTACCCCACCCTGAGGTTAGCCAGTGCTGGAAGATGGAGGTGACCCTAACATAGGATTGGGAGATGGGAGGCCCAGAAAGGCCAGCAGAGAGAGGGCCTGGGATATACAAGGTTATAAAGACCAAGTGCCTGTTTGCAAGGACCACACCTGGGACCCACAATTAGATGTGGTCTGCTAAGATGGCCTTTCATTAGCTGGGCTCGGACTCAATAGTTTCCCCTGGAAAGGGCACACGTCACACTAACACAGTGGCTTTGGGACGAAGTGACAGTGGAGCCATGAGCTTCATGTGTCCACCGAGTTCTCACCATGACCCTGCTCCAGCCACTCTGTCAGTCTTCTCCCCAGTGACTCGGAGAGGAACTTCTGGGCAGGGGGACAAGTACCCGGAGCCACAGCCCTCCCTTTAGCCCAGATGCTGAGCCTGTCACATGAACAAGGAGAGCTGAGCCCTGCACCATCAGGCACGTGTGGTGAACGGCTGTCCTCTTGGCTGGACTAGAGGGTGTGCGCCTGGCAGGTAACCCAGGGCAAGAGGATGCCAGCAGGGCAATCAGAGCACACCGTGTGGGAGGTGGCAGGCACAGCCTCTGGGAAGGGAGGCCCAAGCCAGCCTGGTGACTGGGTTGAGGCAGGCTGCCAGAGCGCATCCAGGCTGCATGCTGGCAGCCCTCCTGTGGTAGTTATACAATTTCATGCCAACTTGATGAAAGAATGAAGGGGTGGGGCCCAGCCTGTCAATCAGCCTGATGATCCCTCCTTATGGGCGTGGCCTTCTCATGAGGCTTCTGAGAACTTCCTCTGGCTTGATTCTGCCATCGGAGGTAGGCCACGCTCTCTGCTTCACCTTCCTGTTCACAAGCCACACGGAGCCACACTGATGGCAGCCAGAGCCCCGGAGATGCGTCCACTGTCATTGGATCCACAGGACTTGCCTCCGATAGGCCAGGTATCGGCTGGCTCTGTAGCTTTGTCGTCACTTCACTGGTACACTGACCACATGATGGGGCGTCCCCCACTTTAGGACACCACCAGCCACCCAGCACTGCTGCTGTGTGCAGGAGTGACCAGCCTGGGTCATGTGCTTGCTGGGGGGACTTGTCGGTCACTGCCTTAAGACCCTTCACAGCACTTCCCAGTAACTGCACGAGCTGACACTGCTTGCAAAGCAGATGCGTCTGCTCTGCTCAAGTGGCCCGGAAGATGCAGGTGGCAGAGGGCAGGCTGTCCAAAGTGGAAATGTGAGGACAGTTCTAACTGTACTCCAGAGGGCCACTTGCTGGACTTGGCTCCCTCTGGTGGAATACCACAGGGACACAGGTCCCTTGGGCTGGGCTCACCTGGTTCTTGGCCCCCCACCTAGGCTCACAGTTACCCAGACTCCTGCGACTGGAGCTTGGCTGTCCCTAAGACAGTGCTGTGGCTGCCTCCTCAGCCTCCCACCCAGACAGTGCAGGAGGGTCAGAACAGAACCCATGCTCCAACTTGAGTCCTTTCTCCACCACAGAACCAGCTTTTCTTTCTTTTTAGTTTCATTACAAGTGAGGGGGTAGAACAGTGTATGCCAAAGTCATAATGCATAATTGAAGACACATGATTGCAATAGTCAAGAAAGGCAGACTAGAAACACGTTTTATATGTAAAACCAAGGCCAGAGGAGCCTTCAACTGCATTCAAGATAAAATACCGGACGGGCTCAAAGGCGAGCAGCTTTGCCTAAAGGAACTGCAGGTGCAAGGCTGCCAGGCAAACAACAGTGAAAGTAAAGGCAATGGCAAAGCCAGCAAACCGGTCCAACGCGTTTCAAACACGGAGTGACAGCACCTGAGCTAACAAAGGACCCACTGTGCCGGGCAGACCCACTGGACACATCCACTTGAGGAACTGCTTCCTTCTGGGTTGACAGGACTGTGACCTCTGGGCAGGGAATCCCGGGTGCGAAGCGGCCTACAGAAGGGTGGAGGAAGCCAGCAGGCCCGCCTGCTTGGTTACTGGACGCCACCCACATCCACACTGCAGGTGGGGAGCTTCCTTGCATAACCCGCAGGAGCCAGTAAACACAAACAGCTCCAGTTTAGGTGCGGGATCAGTCTCAGTGTGCCTTGCTGAGTGTAAGCCACCAGGGCAGATTCACGACAGGAAATGGAGGCATGCCTGGGTAGTCATTCAAGGTCAGTCTGAGTGTTCATATTGCCCTGGGTGACCCACGTGGGTTCTAAGGACACTGCACAATGCTCCCGGCCCAGTGTTAGGAGCTGGCCAGGTGAAAACTGTAGAGAATTGGCTTTCCAACAGGTGGACTTTTTAGAACACTTACAAAGGGCAAAGGGCACCTGGACACAGGGCCAGGTGAAAATCTGTCTGGAGGGATTTCTGGTCTAAACTTGGCTTCCTAATCCTCTTAATTTGGAAACTTAAAAAAGTTTAAGGGCATCCTAGAATTATGTTCCCAAGAAGTGCCCCAACACCACTTTGGTCAGAAAGAGAGCGTGCAGCCTATACGGGGGTGGGGTGGGCAATGCTACCACAGCCCAGCTGTGCCCTGGAGTGCCCACCGACTCAGCTGTCCCAGGGCTCGGCTCAGCACTCCCAACAGGAAATACGGCCTGAGGGCCTTGACCAAGGGTCCTCAAACTTTTAAAACAGGGGGTCAGTTCACTGTCCCTCAGACCTGTTGGAGGGCCGGACTATAGTTAAAAAAACTACGAACAAATTCCTATGCAGACTGCACATATCTTAATAAACAGGGCAAACACACCCAGCGGGCCGGATAAATGTCCTTGGCAGGTCCAATGTGGCCCGCGGGCCGTAGTTTGAGGACGCCTGGCCTCGAACTACTGAGCCGTATGGAGAGGTCTGTTCAGCGGTGTTTCTCTGTCACTGCGGACACTGGCAGTCACTCTTTTATGACCTTACGGTGTTTTCAGGTGTGTCAATTCCCGTAGTTATCAAAGCAACATGACTGAAGGGACAGGTTATTACAGTTCAAAGGATGCCTCTGCTGGTGGGGCTCCAACACTAGGGCCCTCCATCACCCTTTGGGGCTGCAACGGGACTCACCAGGGCTGTCTGCAGGCAAAACGGACAGATCTATTACACTACTGAGGTGTGTGCACCTTAGAACCACTGAGTATCAGGGAGCAAGGGTGGGTGGGGGATGGTGCTAACCCAGGACACCAGGAAGGCGGTGGGCTGGGGGATTTTACGAGGGAAACGCATCACAACATCCACAGACAGTGACACACAGCACACCCCGCCTCCCGCCCGCAAAGATCTCTCTAATAAGAATATTCCATCGTGGTGCCTATAGAACAGGCGGCCTGTAACTGATAAGGACAATCCTGGGACCTCGATGTTCAAAGGCACTTCTGAGCTCGGGGAAATGCTCTGTCAGCACTGGACTCTAGCATAGGACTCTGCTGTCAGGAAGTAGCCACGTAAACAGATCCTGTAGAAGGACAGACTTTCACGTGTGGACACATTTTAAATAATAGCTTTTAGGCAATAAAGAAATCTCCACAGAATAACGAGACCCAAGTAGCTAGAAGCAAAAAAAAGCCCCTTTAATTCAGAACAAATTTTACTAGAGTCCCAAGGTGTCTGAATCGGAAGATGCTCGCAGTGGGGAGCTGAGTTCCCCAGACTAATAGAGAGCTGACTTTGTAGCATGTTGGCTGCTGCCGCCTGAAGGCAGGACCCGCCCAGGCCTTCCACAACCCCAGCACCAGGACCCGCCACCATTACCTGCTACCTGCCAAGCGGCCTGCTCCTCTGCAGGACTACGGCACTGGCTGCAGAGACCAGCTGTCAACTATTGGTACAAGTGCTTCCTCACATATTTTTACTACAATTTTTAATGACCAGTTATTTCCTTTAAATGCTCCCACCCTTACTAATTACCAAGAACACTTGTTCAGGTCGGGTTTTACAAACAAAAGCAACAACTTGAAGCTATTTACCAGTTGGTGTTTTATCCCTTCTTCTATTCAGTCTCATTATTTTTATTTTTTTTGCTATTTGTTTTCATAATTTTCTTACATCACACATGTAAAAATATGATCGTTCCCCTCCCACTAAATGCAGAGTGTGTGTGTGGGAAAAATACAGACAGGGATTTTCAAATCAAAAGCATTTAGAGAGAGACTTTCTTTCGAACCCATCCAGCAAGCAAACACCCCACCCAACTCATGGGTGGGGCTACGCCTGGATTCTTAAAGGATGGCATAGGTTTGGCACGCCTCCTTTCGACCACACTGAAACAGATGGCCACACTGTTTTGCCTAGGACCCGACTCCTACTGCACCCCCAATTCCCTCCTTTCTCATCATTTGGCCCGTGTTGTGGAAGGCTCTCTCATTCCCTAGATTCTGGAACACCTGCGCTATCACACGTACACCCTTCTTAAAAATATCAAAAGCTGCCTGATTCCACACCCCCATTTTTTGGGGGGTGTGTGTGTTACTAAAACCCCACCCTCACACCACAGCCACATCATACAGAGAAAGGCCCAAGTGGAAACACTAATGTGCTGTAATGACATGTGTTTTGCAACATCAAAAGCAGCAGAGATTCTGAATATAATTTGCTGAAATCATAAATACTGAGGTTGAAGTAGGCAAGTCTATAAAACACATTTAGGCTCAAGGCCCTGAAAGCTCTGGAGAAATACACAGAAGAGTATGTAGCCCAGTGCAAGCAAGCAGTGGTGAGAGCGAGCGCCTGGCCTCAGTACTCCCACTCGTCGGACTTCAGGTCCAGGTAGCTGAGGATGTTTTGCGCCAGCTTCACGGCCTGCTTCCGCGCTGCCTTGCACCGCTCCTCGCCCTGCGGGTCCACCGCGTCCAGGGCCAGCAGCTGCTTGGTCAGAAGCTCCTCCAGGCGGATGTAGTTCTTGTCTGTGCGGTTGCCGTCGAAGGAGAGCACCTCACCCTGGATCTCCGACAGGTGCCCGAGGACACCCCACACGGCTCTGTGGGACGGGTGCTCCTCACACACCAACACCTTCCTCTTCTCCAAGGCCTCCTTCAAGTCGATGTAAGTGATGAGCGTCTGCACCTCGATCACCGCCCTCCTCCGGGCTTCCCGGATGCAGGGGTTTTTCTCCACGCTCACCTCGTCCAGCTGGCCGATCAGGCCCTGCAGCTCTGTCTTGCAGCTCAGGTACAGCTCGGGGGGGTTCGGCGCTTGGAGGAGCTCGGTTTTTATTTCCCTCATCCTCTGGAGGACCGTTTCGATCTTTAGAATGGAATGGTTCTGCCCCAGGTCGAAGGCGTGCGTGGTGTCCGCCTCCTCCTCCAAGTCCAGGCACTTCAGCAGCTTGTTGATGTCCTCCACCACCTCCCTGCGGTAGTTCCGGATCTCTGACCGCCCGCACACATCCAGCGCGTCCAGGTCCGCGATCATGCCCGACAGTACGCACGACAAGTGCCTGCACGTCTCCTCGCTGTTCACGCCCATCAGGAGTGCGATCAGGGTGCCCCTGGCCTTGTTCACCTCGCACATCACGGCGTTGATCTTGGCCACGGAAGGGTGCGTGTCCTCGGAGAGCGGCAGGGATGGCTGCCTCTTCACGCAGTCCTCGATGATCTCCTGCACCGCGCAGACCCGTGTCAGTGTGTGGTACCTCGCCTTCCGCAGGGAGACTTTCCCACCGGTCTTCACGTGGGTCAGCCTCAGAATGACATCCTGGATCCCCTCCTCAAACTCACTGGAGACGCAGCTGCCCCCGCTGTAGAAAGGCGCGATCTCCTCCTTCACCAGGGCCTGGGCCTCCTGGAAGATGCTCTCCATCTCCAGCCGGTGCGGGTGGCTGGCATTCTGCTCCAGCTCCTTGAGGAGCCGCTCTGTCTCCTGGGCCGCCCTCTTCCTCGCTTGCTGAATGTCCCCTCGGCCCTCAGTATCCACAGAGTCGATCTCAAAGAGCTGCTTTGTGAGGATTCGCTCCAGCCGCTTGTAGTTCTTGTCCTCGGCCAGGCCACTGAAGCCCAGGACTTGCGGTTCTACGCTCTTCACCTCCTTCTGGATCTCCTGGAGCCGGCTGATGGAAGGATGCTGGTTCCCCATATCCATACTTGGGGTGGGTCCTGGTTCACAAGTTCTAAGGGACGACAAGAAGGACAACTTGTTTCAGCACAGTCTCCAGACGTGAAGAGAGACTTAACAAGGGGCTGGTCCTTAATGCAAGCAGAGGAGGGGCCGCTGCAGCCCCCTTGTCTAGGACTGGCAGCAGGGAGGGACACTGGCTACTGCAGCTTGGGGCTGGGGCCTGGCACCTGCAAGAGAGAGCAGCCTGTGAAATTAACACTCTTGATACTCCGATAGGTTTTCAGGGTGGAACCAGCAGGTGGCCTTATGGAATGCTGCGAAGGGGACTGCAGGCCCCAAAGTATCTCAGCAACCCCCCTTCCTCCCAACAGCCGCCAGGCTCCCAGAATGCACCCCTCCACAATCCCAAGGGGTCCTACACACCCGGAGGCCCTGTTTCTACCTTCCAGCCGCTCACACGTCCCAGGAGGAACACCTTTCCACGGGAGAGGCGGAGCCTCTGGGGTCAAGTTCAAGGCACCACCTTAGCGCTTTGCCCAACCCGTATTCCTCCTTCCCCCAACGTCAGGACAAGACAGCAAAGCAACGAAAGTCCGCTTGGCCCCGTAACGAGAACAGCCCCATGAGTTTTTCTAGGCTGTAATCTTTAAGGGAGCTGAGGTCAGGTCTTTTTCCCGCGTGGGAGTGCCTGGGCAGGTTCGAGCCGCCCACCTTTCATCTCTGCACCGCCTGGCCCCAACACCACCCCACCAAATGCGACTCAACTGTGAAGTATCCATCCCCGCCGCCCACAGAGTGCAGACCACTCAGCGCATGCTTCGCCGTCCTCGGGTCTCCAGCAAACGGCTCCCGGCTCCCGGCGGGG